TCTGCACTTTTTTTATCTTTTTTTTTATATATTTTTTTTCTTGCTCGGAATAAATAACAGAGGGTCTGCGAGAAGAAGATATGTCTCTAGTGATGATTTTGTATACGTATAGAGACTCCGAGGGGTTATGGAGAGAGAAAACAGAGAAAATGTTTTTTATTTTATTTTATTTATTATATATATATATATATATATATATATATTATTTGATTTTATATTAGGATCGTCTGTTTCTGGACTTCCGAATATGTTATATTTCTTAATTTATTTTGCCACATGAGTTTATTTCATTTTTATTTTATATAGTGTATTTAAAATAAACTAGTGTTAAACCCGTGCGATGCACGGCCAATATGATTCAATAACAATTGTTGTAGTAAGTTATTAATTAATTAAAAATTTATTTGATGGCAAATTAATTAAAAAAGATGAAATTTATTTCATTATTATTAAAAATTACATAATAAATAGAATGATGGTATGGCCGGTCAAAGTGATGTTCATAAACTAATATTATTAAATCAACATCACTGATTAGGCGTATGATAACAAAAAATAGAGCTTTAAATTGATTGGAAAATATTAGGTCGATGTGTGTTATTAATAGTTATTGATCGCATAGGAAATCACAAGTAGTAACTGATGCCACGTGAATTTAAAATGTATTTACAGATCAAAGGGGGAGAACATATTACATGTAGTTCAAAGACAACATATTTTAATAAGCTAGATTTTTTTTAACAAAAAAAATAAAATATATACATATCTTAATAAACTATTTTTTTTAAAAAATAAAAAATTATACAAGTCAACCACATTATATTTAGATATTATTAAAAACTTTCTTGTACACGACATTTTCAGTCTGAGTCTTAAAAGCTTGATCTTACACATTAATTGTTCGACTTTAGCTTCTAAGTGTGTTAGTTGTAGTTCGTTTCTCGTTATTTTTGCTTTTTAGTGGTTTTCGAGCACTCTGTCTTAAGTAGAGTTTAGGTCTTTAATTAAAGTGCATCTTCAATTAATTGTTTTTTTAATTCCCTAGTCTAAAATATAGTTTAAAAATCCCCAAAAATCAATCATTTAGAATGTTCATGACTTTATTTTCCGTTTTTGCGCATTTGGCATTTAATTTGTAAACGAAACTCCGAATCACCTTCCTTCGAGAAGAAGACCCGAGGTTGATATTTGATTGTACTCGGCTAAAAACAATTAAACAATCATTTAATATATATTTAGAACAAAAATATTATGTTAATTGGAAAGACACAATAGTTAAAGGCATTATAAAATCACTTAATAGCATTTTATAAAGACTAATATTAGACAATAAGAGCACTTCAAAATTATGAAAAATGCACTCAATAAAGTGAATTACATTCTCCCATGAGTTGTGATCCTTTCGAAGGCCTAATTAGACGAAGTTTCAGCGCTTGTTGTGACAATGAGTCCGTCAATTTTTTGATCGACACAAACAGGGGAAGCATTTATTTTAAGCTCGGTTGAGTACGTGTAAAATATATCTTTTGCGATCGTAATGTTAATCTTACTCAGTGTTATATAATTATATTAAAAATGTTAATATGTTTATATTAATTAATAAATAATTTTAACTTACATAAAGATGGTAATATGTTTATATTAAATAATAAATATTTCATTTATAAAATTATGGCCAAACTAATTATATGAGGTAAACACTAATAATAGAAAATTAATATTAATTAATTAACTAAAATAATGAATCATAAACCAATGAAATCATACCAAATCTATCATTGGTAAATAATATGTGAATCACTGAAGATATAAGTTTTTAAGACTTACCAATATATGAATCATTAACTAATATCATTAATTAAATTAGTGTAATTAAAAATAAACAAATTATTTAAGTTAAAAAATATACCAACAACATATCATTCGTAAATATACTCAAAACAACGTTTAAAAAATTATTACGAACGCGAATCTAACAAAACCTTTAGTCAAATCACAACTTTAATTTTCTATTCCACACCCACCTAGACAAATCGAAAAATTTATAAAATTGATATTTGTTTCAATTAGATTAACTTTGAATGGCAAAAAGTAATCATCACGAAAATCTAGAAATCTTTTACGCCCAAAAAAAATAAGAAGATAACTTTTACCGAATTGTTCAATATATTAGTGATATCATGCCTAAATATTACCAGTATATCATGCCTAATAAATATCAACCAATATATCATGCCTACATATTACCATCTTTATAATTCATGCATGATATTTACTATCTTAATATAATTTTGTATATGCCAACAACATTTATTGACTTACCAAATCAATATAAAATGACTTAACAAATATTGCCAAATTTATCCGAAAAATTTAGGCGGGAAAACCTTAGCTAATTTTAGAAAAATAGATTGGTCCATTATATAGATATAGATATAGATTCATGCGTGAAACAACTATATGGCAGATGAATGAGTCATGTCATATGGACAAAAATTATACTTATACTATTAAAGATTAAATATTATTATATGTGTATGTTTCTTTTATAATATAATAATTTATATAATTAATATATATATACATACTAGTAAAATGCGTGTATTGTGCTTGCTAATTTTTTCCTTAAAATCTAAAATTATTGAGAAAAAGTAGTTGAAAATTTAAATAACTTTTATAAAAATATATATTATTATATATTTAGTATGACACTTTTTATTTGTGTGACTTACTTGTGTTATATTATAATAATTTTTTTAACTTACAACAATTAACTACATTAAACAAAAATATATCAACTGAGAAATAATTTTATTTTCTAATAAAATTTAATAAATATTATTTTTTATTATTATAAAGGTAAATATTATCTATTTATTTTATATATACAATATGGATGTCAAATCGAAGATAATGAAAAGATGATTAATTTGATATATTATATATGTAAAACCAATAAGAAATACAAAAGTTATCAATTTTTAAAATACATTTATAATGCAATAGCTAATTGAAGGAAACAAATCAGAAGTCTGGGATATATTAGTCACTTAGTGTCTAACTATGTAAAATTACAAAGAATTAAAGGGTTATATTAGTACAAGTGATATTAAATACTATGACACTTTTTATTTGTGTGACTTACTTGTGTTATATTATAATAACTAGTACAACACCCGTGTATTACACGGGTGCTTGCTCATTTTTTTCTTAAAATCTAAAATTAATAAGAAAAAAGTAATTTGAAAATTTAAATACCTTTTATAAGAATATATATATTATTATATAATTTTTATTACACTTTTTATTTGTGCGACTTACTTGTGTTATATTATACTAATTTTTTTAACTTACAATATATAACTACATTACATATAAATATATCAATTGAGAAATAATTTTATTTTTCTAATGAATTTTAATAAATATTATTTTTTATTATAAAGATAAATATAATTTATTTATTTCACATATACAATATGGATGTCAATTCGAAGATCATCAAAAGATGATTAATTTGATATATTATATATGTAAAACCGATAAAAAATACAAAAGTTATTAACTTTTAAAATACATTTATAATTCAATAGCTTATAGAAGGAAACAAATCAAAATTCAGAGATATATTTGTCACTTAGTGCCTCACTATGTAAAATTACAAAAAATTAAAGGGTTATATTAGTAAACGTGATATTAAAATACCTAAGTGAGCTAAATAATATTTATGGAATACCCGAACCTAGATTATTAATTATTAATATATCAATATTATTCATCCGAACCTAATTACGAAGCATGATTCTTCGCCAAATAGGATTACAAAGCACCAGAAGCAGCCACGTAGGCTCAACGCATTCTGGAATTATATATAGGGAGGATTTTTTTAACTTACAACAATTAACTACATTAAACAAAAATATATCAACTGAGAAATAATTTTATTTTCTAATAAAATTTAATAAATATTATTTTTTATTATTATAAAGGTAAATATTATTTATTTATTTTATATATACAATATGGATGTCAAATCGAAGATAATGAAAAGATGATTAATTTGATATATTATATATGTAAAACCGATAAGAAATACAAAAGTTATCAATTTTTAAAATACATTTATAATTCAATAGCTAATTGCAGGAAACAAATCAAAAGTCAGGGATATATTAGTCACTTAGTGTCTCACTATGTAAAATTACAAAGAATTAAAGGGTTATATTAGTAAAAGTGATATTAAAATACCTAAGTTAGCTAAATAATATTTATGGAATGTCCGAACCTAGATATTTATTGTTAATATATCAATATTATTTGTCCGAACCTAATTACGAAGCATGATTTTTCGCCAAGTAGGATTTCGAAGCACCAGAAGCAGCCACATAGGCTCAGCGCATTCGAGAATTATATATAAGGGGCGATGTGTGGGAACAGTGCCGCAATAATGTAGATATATACGGTGTTAGGTCCTTTTTTGGTACTTTTATTTTTAATTTTTATTTATTATGCTATTTATATTTCAGTTTGCAAAAAATTAAATAATAGATTCATCATTGAAGATCCACAAAATATGTATATTACATGACTTATTATGTTACAAAAATTGTTCAATCATAAAGTATATTACATTAGTACGAAATTATATAAATTTATCGAAATACATGGGTACCTAACATCAGAAATATTCAGTTAAGTTGTAAAATGGTTAGACGGTCATGCACTTTCAATAAATATGTATATTTTCATAATTAAAACAAAAT